CCGCAAGCAGGTCTGTGACCAGATCAAGTGGTTTGGAGGGACTAGGCGCAACACCAGCCAATAGGCCAGGAGGCCTGATCACAGTGAACACTCTGGATCAATTCAAGCCTCAGCTGGTTAATGTGGAGATCAGTCCTGTCCCCTGCGGATTCCCTCATGACCCTGGGAGGAGGGTCTGGTTGCCATTGGACAGACCCTCCTCTGCCTCACCGTCTCCCCAGCGGCCTTGGCCAGTGCACAGCACAGCCTTCTAGGCTCTGGCCTGGCAGGGACTTTTGGAGAGGTGTCTCCAAGGGCAGGAGGGCAGCACATTTCAGAATCTGTGGCTGCCGTTTCCCCTGGAAGACAGCCTCCTTTGGAAGGCGTTTAGCTGACAGCTCAGGATATTGCTGCTCCCATCATGCCAAGTCAGGTGTGAGGTGACATTTTCAGGACCTGTGATGTGCTGTGAGCTCTGATCATGGTCTCCTAGTCCAGAGGCAGTGCTGCTGTCCACATGTCCTAGTGAGAGGATGGAGTCAGCGAAGTTGAGAGAGTTGTTCAAAGTCACAGAACAGAGCTGGGAGGGCACCCCAGGCTGAATGACCCAACCCAACTTCCATTTCATCTGCAGCAAAGTGCCCTTACCTCAAACTATCCTGTACGTTGCCTGGCACGACTTGCCAGAGAGCATGGAAGGCCACCACCAAGAGCCTTCCCCCTGGCAGCCCAAGGGAAGGGAGGGGCAGGTGTGTGATACCTCCAGCTAGGCCAAGGCAGAGAAGGGGTCATATAGGGTTGGGCAGGGACAATCTCCCTGTTAGAGAAGGGATTATAGGTACCCATTCTCCCGGGTTCAGACCATGGCACTGCCACTTGCCACCTATAGATTCTTGAGCACTTTATCCCTATGTACTGGGTTGCAGCCTGACCATAAGGCATCTCTTGCTCTGCCTGTCCCCAGAGCATCTCAGGCAGGGACAGTGGGAGAAAAGACACAATTGAAGTCATTTCACCATGTCAGAGCCCAGTTATGGATGCTGGCAAGCTACTTTGCCCGTCTGCTCCTTGGTTTTCCAATATCTACTCATAAAATTTGAGATAAACTGTGTTAAATGTCTAGTTCTGCGGTTCATAATCTTTTTAAAGCACAAAAACTCTTTATTCAAATTAAATCTGAGGAAAATCTCTAATCAAAATAGTGGCGCTGAAGAAGGGGGTGACCCTAGGGCCCTGGAAGTTAGAGTGAAAAGACCAACTCTGGAGCTACCTGAAAATGCCACCACAGCAACAGGTGGATAGATTGTCTGAAAAACTAGCATCAAATGCTGAATATCTCTTCAAGAAGGGCAGATATGAGGAGGTGGGGGAGGGGAGTGTGTCTACCTTACATGAGCTTGCCCTGGGGTGCTAGGCAGAGAAGCTCCTGACAGGTGCTCACCCTTCCTGTCCTGAGTCCCCACCCTGACTTCCTACCGGGGACGGATGAGGCAATGAGAAATCTCCTGGCCCTGACTGCCTCTCACCCATTAAATAGACCTGTTCTCTGATTTTCACACAGGTCTGCCCCACTCCTGCCTCCTGGCCTAACCTCACCCAGCTGGAATGTCATTTCCCCAAATCTGTCTATCCAAATCTGGTTTACTCTTCAAACTCACGTTGTTGCCTCTGGGAAGCCTTCTATGATTATCACTAGTCAAAAGTAATATTCCTTCCTCTGACATCCTCTGGCACAGAGGGCAGAGGCAAAAAGTTTGGGGTACAGTGTCTCCATCTGCAAGAATGGAATGTGAAGATGATCCATGTAAAGCCCAGCACCGTCCTGGCACAAGGGGGCATTCAGTAAGTGCCAGCTGCTCTTTACAATGTTATAGTCTCTCCCTCTATTTGGCGGAATTCAAGGTACCCCAGACTGGTTCATTGAAGGCATCTACTGAACGCTCATCTGCGTGACCAGCAGGGGGCTCCACACCCAGTTAACCTGCCCTGACCAGCTGCTCTAGCCCCTAGCGTCAAGTCACGGACTCTCTTACCCTGGTCAGGGCAAACCAAGACAGGGCAGGACAGGCAGAGACTGGCAGCTCAGCGTGTCACCTGGCAGACACTTAGGCTGCCTTAGTGACCAAGGCCTTTGGGCATGGCCTCCCCTGCTCCCCAGCAGCCCTCCCCCATCCCTATGAGGATTATTCCCATTTAAGAAACAGAAAACTCAGGCCCAGCAAAGTGCATGATCTGCCTGAAACATAAAGCAATCTCACAATGCATCAGCCAGGAGCAGCAATTCTGCTAAGGGTGCCAGAGAGATCTGGCCCTGATTAGTTGAGGTCTCATTTTACTGATAGGGAGCTACAAAGAGCCTTGCCCAAGCCCTCATGTAAACCAAAGCTCAGATCTCCTGACTCTAAACTAAATAACCCCACACAGGGTGGGAGGTGGGGTTCCCAGACCCTTCTCTGCTTGCTGGCCTTGATTCCAACACACTGAATATGCTGACTGCCCAGTGGGACAAAGGGAAGAATTTAACCCTCTTGTGCTTGCGGAGCAGCTGTGAAGACCTACAGGGGAACAAAGACGCAGCCCAAGGCAGCTAGGTCTGGAGACAACCACTCAGGCCCTATACCACCACCCCTCACCTGTCAGAGAGAGTTTTAAGTAGACTTGGAAGCACTGAGACCCCTGCAGAGGTTGCAGCAGGCTGCATTTTGAGGTTCATTTCTGATGCTGCAGTGGAGGGGCTGAATCGAGGGCGGAGAGGGGCTGGTGTGGAATAGCAATGAGCCAGGCTGCTGGAAGCCTGCCAACACCAGGTTTGCAAGACAGAGAACTCTGCTGTTGGCTGGGTCAGGGGAGCATCACTGGGAAGAAACGACCCACATACACAAGCACGTGCACATGCTGGTACACACACACAGTATCACTGGGAAGAAATGTCCTACATACACGCACACGCGCACTCACACACAGCCCTGGGAAGAAAGGTCCTACACACACTCACACACACTCACACAGAAGCACTCACACATCCACATGTGTGTATGCACCTCTAATAGTCTTAAATGAAAGCTCCCGGGGAACCACCATGGAATTCTTGCCAATGCCTGTGTCTGAATAGGCTGTTGTCAGTATATGGCTCATCAGATGTCAGTTAATTGTCAGAGATTTGCTCCCATTTCACAGACGGCCACGCTGAGAAAGTGTGTGACTTGGCTGGCATCTAGTCTCCCAGCTCTGACTTGTGAGAACTGTACTTGACACCAGGATTGGGTTGTCGGCTTTGGACTGGGGGGGGGGGTTGCCACTGGCCAGGCTCTGATGGGCTTTTAAAAGTGGCCAAGCAAATGTGGGAATTATGGGGGCAATCCCCCAATCTCCCCTCTGCTACCTGAGCCACCTGAAAATGCCACAGTAGCAACCCCAAGACCTAGGCACATGAGGGTCATGCCCTCGCTTACAGCAGCTATAGGCCAAGAATGACCAAAGAGAATCCACCATGGGACTGGCATGCTGACACCTGAGCAGGTGCCTCCCCACTGAAACTACAGGTGGTGAGGGCCAGCCCCAGGGAGAAGCAGGTAGGCAGAGCTGAGCGTTTCAGAGTCCCTCTGTCCCCACAGTGCTGCCTCATCCTGGTCATCTGTCAGGCATCTTCCCCAGCCACTGGGGTATCTAATTTCCCTCTTTGGTTAACTCTTCCTTGGCACCTGGTTTCAAGCCACGTGCTTCCTTCACAGACCATGCCAAGACTGCAACTCAGCTTGTATGTGTGCTAGTTTGCTCTCATGAGTATAAATTCCCAGAGGTGAAACTTGTCCAAAACTTTCTCTACTGCCTCCCTTGCACCCAGCAAGGGTTCTCAGTACAGTGGGTGGTCAATAGCCAAGTGAGAGTCTATCTTCTCTGCAGATTTGCGACCAGATATTCTCTGCCTTTGTGTAGTCAGTCTTTCACTGGATAGAGCCCACTGCATAGATTGGCCTGAGCCACAGGCTACATGAGACCCCCCCGAATTCTTTGGGGGTGTCCAGGGGCCCTCTGGAAGGGTAGGCCATTCTCCTTGCAGCCCAGGGCTGGAAGCAGGGTCCATGAAGTCCCACATGACACTGCTCTGGAGAGCAGGCACTGTAGCATGAGACCCCATGGTGGAGAAGGTCTGATTTTCTGGTAGGAAGTCCTGAAGAGGTTTGAGGATGAATGGTTTTTCCCTTGAGCAACTTCAGGGCGGGCTCCTTCCTGACAGCTAAAGATGCTGGAGAACAAGGGAGTGCTAGGCACCAGCACCAGGAACCCCAAGAAGGACTTCACACACATCTTCCCAGACCCCCCACATGACTCTAATGGTGTCACTCGCACCATGCAGTTAGGGAAACTGAAGTGGGAAGCTGGGCTAGGGCGCAGCACACATCTCAGGAGAGCTTGCCAGTCCCAGTCTCCAAACAGCTCCACACCCCCCATGCCCCAGGGGAAGGGGATGAGGAGGGGGCTCTGAGGGTGCCCGAAGAGCTTTTGGAAAATGGAGGTTTTGAGATGGGAGCTGAGGGAATGCAGTACAGTCAGGGCCCCCCTCAGGGCTGCCGCAAGGGCTCCCGAGGGCTGAGGGTGCTCTGTTGCTGGAGTAGTCAAAAGACAGCTTCCAGCGTCCCGCCCCCGCCCCTCCCCGACATTCTTGCTGCCAAATGAAATCTGGCAGCTTCTGAAAATAGCTCAGCGCTGCAGCAGGCGCTCTGCCCGCCCTTCAGCAGGCTGGCAAGCAGCTGGGGGTGGCCACTGTGGGCAGGCGCTGGCGCACGCGGGGCGTGGGTGGGTGTCACACACACAGTGCACTGAGGAGGCAGAGCTGGGGGCATGGGGCAGCTGCCACCCCTTGGTTCCTCTGACCTTTCCACACCTGGAGTCAGCCTGGCACGTTTGGTAAGCCTGGAGCACGCTCTCCAGCAGGGGTGAAGTCACTGGTGGGTATGCACAGCTGCCGTTGGGTCACTTTTACCCCCTCATGGAGACAAACAGAAACCCAAGAAGCAGAGGAAAATGCCAACACGGTGTTTATTAATATCTGGAGGTAAAACCCAGTAATGTTGTCCTATCTGCTGTAGCCTAGGATTCCCCGGCCAGTGAGGTGCCAGGCACGGAGAACCAGACTGGGTGTTAGGCACTTGTCAGGCCCATACCAGGCCCTCAGCACCCTAAGGCTACCCTAAGTGTAGGGATACTTAAGCCCAGCCCAGTGAGACGGTGACCCTCTCTGCTCCGATTCAGGCTGAAGCCAGCACCAGACCTTCTAAGCACCACTCAGCAGCCCTCCCCCACCTCGGGTCTGACCTGGAGTACAGAAAGAGATCCCTGATTAATGAGGACATGCTTAACCCTGCCCCCACCACCTACATTAAAAAAAAAAAAAAAAAGACCAAGAGACATCCCCTGCCTTAACCAGGCTGGAGGATGAACCATTAGGGCTCTCCTGCCCAGGATCCAATAAGCAGGTGGGGGCAGAATTGTACTGGCTTTTTATCACAGTGACATTTCCAAAGTAGAAAAGGGTTAAAAATACCTTCCACCCTCAGTTGAGATGAGACCACTCTGGGTAAGGGCTAGTAACAGGATGATTGGGCCCAGGACTGAAGCGAAAGCTCCCAGGGTCCTGTGGGATGGGGTTGCAGGAAGACTGGACCTTATGGTCTCAGGAAGGCCAAGGACTTACGAAGCACAAGCCAGATGAGGGCGAAGCCTCCTGAAGAGCACAGAGGCACCCTCAATTGCTCTTCTCCCTCCCTCGCTCACTCACTCACTAAGCATTCATAGATAGCAACATCCCTGGTCACCATGGCAACCAAAGGCCAAAAACCTTTCTCAAGGCCAAACTCATCTGCCCACCCTATGGGGTGGGAGTGGAAGGGGGGCTTCATAGAAGGAAGGAAGCCCAGACACAATTCCCAGCGGCCTAGAAAGCCAAGGCCATGCCCCAGTGCGGATGTAGCTGTTACTCTGGCCAAAGGTGCTGTCACTGCAGCAGGCACTCGTTGGCCCCCAGGCTCGGGCTTCACCGGCCAAGACTCTAAAAGAGGCCTGAAGTCAGGGTCCCCCATCCTGAAGCTCAAAGCGACGAATTTAAAACACAAGAAAATAAACATTTTGTTTAAAAAATGACTCTGCCCGCTGGCTCAAGGCTCAGTGCATTCAGGGCTCCCCCAGGCGGAGAAGGTCTCCAGAGTCCCCTGAGCTACTGGTTGTTGCAGCCCTGTGAGGCCAAGGAGCTGCCCGCCTGCTTCTTTCTCCGCTTGTTGAGGAGTCGGTTGTTGGAGGTCTTCAGGTCCTTGATCTTCACCTGGTCGTAATCCACCCTCATGGTTGCCAGGGCACTGGTCATCTCCTCCTGGGGACAGAGAGTGCGGGAGGTGACCAGGCAGTACTGACCTCAAGGGCCACCCTCCTGCCTGGGCAGCCCCTAACAACGTCTGCAGTGGCAGTGACCTCTGCTGCCCAGCACCTCCTGTGTGCCTGCACTGGCCCTTGCTGAGATAGTCCTCAGTACAGAAAGGGGCTACACAGAAGCAAGCAGCAATGTCACCTGCTCAGAATCACAGGCTCTGCAGGGGACACCACCTGCTGGAAGACACTAGGCACTAGGGCCTGAAGATCATGCCCCAGGTGCCCCAGAGGCTACCCTAATGCTCAAACCTGGCCCCTCCTGAGTCTAAAGCCAGGCGGATCACCCTTGTAAATGTTGGTACAGAAGGGCTTTATCACCAAAGCCCTTCCACTGAGCCCCTGACCCAAGACTCCTTCACTGGGGCGCCTCACCCTGAAGGGGATAGGGTGGCCCAGAGCGCTGAGCACCGTGGTACAGCTGTTAGTGCAGTCACCCACCCCTGTGCTCCAGTGGGGGGAGGGTCTGGGTAGCCATCACCCTAGAGCTGCAGCTCTGTAAGGGAGTCCCTTTTTCCAAACCCCCCCTGGAAAACTGAGGCCAAATCCACCCACCTTGACTTCATCCCAGTGGTCTTTGTCCTCCTGCAGCACTCGGGCCGTGTGGAGCGGGGTCTGTGGCACCACCATGGATTGCTGCGAGGAGCCCAAGCCAGAGGTTAGAAGCTGGCACAAGACTGGCTCCCCCAACCAGAGCCCTTTCGTCTAGCTTCAGCTGAAACTGAAGGCGTCTGTCTGGAGCAGTGGAATACTCAGGCTGAAGCTGCAGATGCGGCACCACCACACATCTGACGCCCATGCCCGAACCTCCAGAGCAACCCCGTCCTGCTGGCAGCGTGTGCCGGCTCACCACCCTGGCTGCTGTGGCACAAGGAGGCACTCACGTTGATCCAGGGATGGTTCATGAACTGTGTGATGGTCAGCCTCTCTGTGGGGTCTGTCTTCAGCAGGAGGCGAATCAGCTGCTTGGCTGGGGAAGACGGGGAGCGGTGAGGTGGCAGAGATCCCCAGAGCAGTCTCCCCACCTCTCCCCACAGACCACATGCTCCATGCAGGTAGATGCCACATGTGCTCCCGAATTCCTAACTCACAGAAACAGTGAGCCAGCTACTTGTTTTAAGCCAGCAAGTGTTAAACAGCTGGCAGTACTGTACAGGGCAGACTTGCTTGTGGTCCCAAAAAGGGAAAGGATGACTGAGCCACAGGCATCAGCGGGAGCTTGGAGGAGGCAAGTTTTGTACCCACTTGCAGAGACTAAGGTGGAAAAGGTGAGGTGACTGGCCTGGGGTGGCTAACACCAGCAGGTGGTTAACACCAGCACAGCATCCCCAGAATGAAGGCAGGAGGCCAGGTGGAGCAAGCTAAGGTGGAAAGGTTCACTCACCATCCTCAGACACCTCCGACCACTCAGGTTTGGGGAAGCCATACTGGCCCAGGCGGATCCTCTTCTTCATCCCCGGGGAGATGGCCTGGCCCGTGTTGGAGTAGAAGGGTGGGAAGCCGCATAGGCTGGGGAAGGGGGGAGGTGATTTGGCACAGGTGTGGGGGCAGTGTTAGGGTGGGCCCCTTCTCCACCCCAGTCCCTGATTGGCAGCCAGATCTCTGGACTCCGGGGCACAGGCCCTAGGCATGGGAGGCCTTCAAGCAGCCTGAGGAAGGGTGTCCCTTGACCAAAAAGGAAGGGCAGCCTGCAAGAGTAGTAGCCCGCTTAAGTCCCTCACCAAGCAATGTAGGGCTAAGAAGTGGCACTGGGGGTACATAGTAGAGGGTGAGGGGTGCAGGGAGCAGGGGTGGTGGTACTCACAGGATGTACATGATGACGCCCAGGGACCACATGTCACATGACTTGTCATACTTCTCTGGACCTAGGACCTCAGGGGCTACCAGGGCAGAGGGCACAAGAAGATTCTCAGCCCCAAGGGTCTTTGAGCCCAGGTGGAAACCTGAAGCCTGGGCAAGACGGGGAGAGGTGCCCAGGTTGGGGGTGGGGCAAGCAGACTGGTGTCTAGCACCTTCAGGGAAGGAGCATGTGTGTGAAGTTAAGGGAGGAAAAACAACTTCCAGCAAGGAAAAAAAAAAAAAAAACACCCGCTTTTAGTCTGAATTAAGAAATGCTAATTCCCTGGATCCTTCAGGCTTCAGCCTTAGTGAAGGAGAAAGCCAGCCCAGGGTTTGTTAGGGTCTTGCCACAGGCAAGAGGGTCTCAGCTCACCCGCTGCCCTGGGTTCCTTGCCTGCCTGAATGCATAGGTCATGGAGACAGAGAGGTTGGAGTAGGGCTCTGGATTTCACTGTTGGCTTGGCTACCACCCCATAAGGCTCTGGTCTTTCAGTCTGTGCAATAAGATAGGTAGCCAGAAGATCCTGCACTTAAATTACTGCAAAATACATCCTGATAAACAGTGTGCCAGTTCAGCTTTCTGGGGACTTCCCACCCCTTAATGAGCTTTCTCCGAAGGCCTCTCATAGGGTGAGAAGCCCTCAGTCAAGTGAGTTATCACCCTGCTCTCCAGAGATACTTTCTGGGAGCTGCCCATTCACCGGGAACTCACAGGGGAATTTTTCCAGGAAGCCTGTGTGTGTGTATATCCCTGGGTCTCACCTGTGCCCTGGCCTAAGGGACCCCCTCCCACAGGCAGGAGGCTGGCGCCCTGTATCCCTCTAATGTAGGTGGAAGGACCTGCCCACTTTCTGAATATGAATCCCAGGAAGATTAAAAACTAGAGAAAAACAACCACGGTTGGGCTCTGTCCCAAGCTGATGGCAGCCTTTTATCACGTATATATTTAGAGCTGCTGTGATGTCATTCAGCTCAGAGGCCACAGTCAGAATTTTCCTGGATCTATTTTCAAAAGCAGAAGCTTGAGATTGGGAGAATATTTTTGCAGCCTCTGTGCACTCCCCCCCACCCCCACGTCACTGCCTGCATTCAGACAGAATTCTCCACCTCCTTCCTTACTGGGCTTTAACCCTTTGATTTCTGCAGTTCACCAGCTGCCCTACACCACAGCTGATGTGGGTAGGGAGGTACAAACCACGTCCCAAGGACTCACCCACATAATAGGGAGTATAGCAGGGTGTCCGTAGAGCATTCTGGGTAGTCTCCTTGGCAAAACCAAAGTCAGTGAGTTTCAGCACTGCATCTCTCTCCTTTGATGTGTACAGCAGGTTTTCAGGCTGGATCAGGAAGAGAAAGCATCATCTGGAGTTAAGTGCCAGGTGGAGGCTGAACCCCAAGGTGATCTTCAGCCAGGCTTCCTCCCTCCTTCAGTCTAATGCAAGAGAAGCAGGAGCCATCTCATTAAAAAGACCTGAGCCTTGGCTAAACTGGAGAAGATCAAGGTGGCACGGAGGTCACATCTCCATTTGCAGAGGAGAAAGTAAAGCAGATGTTCAGCCGAGGCTGTGAATAACCAAGCGCCACAGAGAGCCAGGGGCAGGACCTCCTGAGCAGAGCTGGTGATGTCATGAAAAGCCAAAATGAGGGTTCTGGGGGAAGGCAGCTCATGAGTCAGTCGCCAACAGAATGAGCCAGCAGAATAGCCCAACCTGACGATGCCCAAAGGGAAGGCCCTTCTGTGTAGGCTCCAGAGCCATGCAGGGGTAATCCTTCCTGGGGGAGGAGCACTGGGCACTGAGGCCTGAAGCAGAGGGGAGGTCAGCATAGTGGAGGTGATCCTGAAGTTGGCTTTTAACCATCTGTTTATTTAGGCCCATGGAGAACAGTAGGAGGGAGCCCTCAAACATGCTGAGGTGGAAGCATGGGGTATTGGATGAGTTCTGATTTGATGTCAGTGAAAGGTATTCCCCAGGTTCTATTTGAGATGGTTTGACTTTGGCTTGGAATGAAAACAGGGAAGCAGGTTTAGTCTACAGGAGGGCATCGCCTTTGAAAAAAGCAGTTTTCTCCCCTTAGGTAAAAGGAGGCGAGGGCCAAAATAAAGCAAGGTTCAGAGGTGAGTGTGCTGCAGCTGCACTTGTATCTGGAATCAGAGGGTAACTATATGACTTGGTGGTACTCATCCAGAAGAAGGACCTGCTGTAGCCGCTGGACCTTCAGTATTCCCTCTGGCCAGCGCTAGAAGAAATAAGGAGGGAAGTAAAGTGGGGGGTGGGGCCAAGCACTGGGTCTGGACAGAGGCCCGGGAGTTGCAGCTGCTGCTGTGACGGTGACCAGCATGTATGTGCAGACATGGGTGGGCACACATGTGTGCATGAATGTTACATGGGCTATCTCGGTTTACATTTCATCCATCTGATCCTGATGTCCTTCCTGGGTAGGAATTTGGAAAGCTGAGACTCCAAAACATCGCTCAAGTTTATCTACTAACGGGGTAAGCGAGATCAGAAACTGGGACTACCTCCGCTCCTTCCTGCAGTGCCCAGCAAGTGGCTTCTCCCCTTTAAATGAGGATGTTAGGCAGGCTACTCCTATTGTGACCAGGCTGTTATTTCACAGCTGCTCCAGCATGTCAGGCACACCTTTCCTAAGGCCAGGAACACTGCATGCTCACCAAAGATCTTGATGAATAAACAAATGAATGAATCCCATACAACGGCATGGCCTCACTTTCCCATCTAAAGTGCCACAGGGCTGGATGAGGATTAAATGAGATGCTAGTCAGGTCCTACTGGCTTGGCATAAGTGCTCAGTCATTCTTACTGCTATTGGAATCACACTATGCTTGAAAAAAATGAGACTACAGCAGGGTAAGTATGCTTCTCCACGGGAGAAGAGGCGAAGAACAGGCTGGACCAGAGGACAAAGGCTTGAATGTCAACCAAGGAACTTCGTCTCCAACCCCCACAAACCGGATCCTGGAGCCTCACCTTGACATCTCGGTGGGCAATGTTCTGGCTGTGCAAGAACTGGATAGCCGTACCAATATCCCGCATGATCTCTGCAGCTTCTGCACAGACAGAGGAGGTCAGGGATGCCAGTCAAAGGTCAGATGGCTCTCAAGCTCTCATCCCCCTTGGGCCATTACAGCACAGTTACAGCCCTCCTCCCACCCAGGAGCTGCATGCCATACCCCCACCCCAATCACCCTAGCTTCTTTTGGGGATGCCTCTACTTCACCTGGCTCTCTTTCCTCGGGACTAGGCTACATCCCACCAGCTCAGAGGCTGGTTGGCTCCAACAGACCTCTACCTCAAGGCCAAGGCGAGTCCATTTCCAAGAAGCTTTCACAAACTCACAGAACCCCTTGGAGGATGGATATCCCACTCTTGTTTTGGGTAGACTGAGGCACAGAGAGGCGCAGGGCCTCATTTAGTATGGTCCATCCATACCAGCCCAAATCCTTGCAATAGTCCAGGAGCAGGAACATACCTCTCTCCGTGAAAGCCTGGTCACCACGCTCTTGAATCCTGCTGAACAATTCACCACCTTCCATGCTGTAAGAGAAGGTGAATAAGTTGGGAGGAAACAGGCATCAACTCGCCTTGCCCCAAATCATGGGCCCAGGTCTCAGGCCCAACTGTTTTCCCCCCGGGAACAGTCACTGTCACCCTCCCTCTGCAGAACCTGTGGTATGGTGGGCTGTGGGTTTGATTGCGCTGAACTGAACTCTTAGAACTAAGAAGGGTGGGAGCTCAGATCTTTGCCAGGGAGCTCCTGTGTTCTGGCTGACACTGTTTCCACCTGGCTGAGGCTTGGACAGCTGCAACCCCATCAAGTCTCAGTTTCCCAAAATGTGGGAAACATCATCAACATCATCAATATGGCCAGTTTTCTGAGTATCTACTGTGTGCTGTGCCCTGGACAACCGTTTTGTATATGTTGCCACACGCCGTCGGACTGCAACTCCCCTCCCTGAAGCTCAGTTTCCTATTTCATAAAACAGGGATTATGACAGTAACCTCACAGAACAGCAAAGAACATGTAGAAAAGAGCTAAGCGCAGGGTGAAAGCTACAGTAAGAGCTACATTTTACATGTGAATTATAGAGATTCAGAGACTAGCAGCTGCCCAAGGTCCCACAGCTACTGAGCGGCAGAGCCAGGGTCTGTCCCTGAAATCTGACTCAAGCGCTGGCTACCTGACAGACATGGAGGGGCAGGAGGTCTAGGCCCAGGGCCCAGAGTCTGAGGAATATTAGGGCTGAGCCATGCAGGTGGAGAAGGCTGCTGGTTCTAAGCCCTGGTCACTCAGCATCCAGAGGGACCACAGGACACGAGTGGGTAGGAAGGAGAAGCCAAGGGAACTATGACGTCCTACTCTCCCTTTAATTCCTCTCCCCCACATTCACTGGCAGCCCATTCAATCCCTCCTCCCAGGGCAGAACTCATGCCCTGGGAAGCCATATCAGAGCCCCTGAAGTTTCCTTCACCCTTGTGGCGATGTACTCCATGGGCAGGACTGGCAGCTGCCCCCTCCGCTCCATTCAGGGGCCGGGAGCCTCCTGAGCAGCTAACTCAAGAAGAGGGAGGGCCCAGAAGAGAGGCGAGGGGCTGGTGGGCACAGCAGTCTTCCTGAGGTGCCGAGGCCGGTGGCTCAGCCTACCATTCCATGATGATGAGGAGACAGCGCTTGCCATGGTGCATGTTCTCATACACGTCCAGGATGCGCACAATGTGGGGGCCGCCCGAGGCCTGCCAGTGGTGGTCCACCTCCTGCCGGGCCTTAGGACTGTCATACAGGAGCTGAGGAGAGTGAGCACAGACAGTGTCAGGATCACAGCCAACTTCCCCAGCAGACACCCAGATGGTGCCTCTTTGCAGACAAGGACAGTTAAGCTCAGAGAGGTCTATGCTGGACCCAAGGTCACGCAGCTTAGAAAGGGGCAGGATGGATTCAAGTCCAGGCCTCCCAGCCTTGTGGCCGGTAATGCTCAGACCTGATAGCACATCACCTTCAGGCAGTCTGGCTGGTGGCTCAGGGAGACTCCAAGAGAGGGACTCAGGCCAGGAAGCCTGACCTCCCTTCTTGGAGGCAGCATAGGAGGTAGAAATTATGTGGGTTTTGCAGTTAAATGACACACCAGCTGCGGGACCCAGTTCAGGGGCCACACATCCCTCAAGCCTCATTTTTACAATGGGGCAATACAGTGGCAAACAGGATGGGAAGTGTACATGGGTGGCACATGGCACAGAGCAGGCCTGCCCTGTGGGCCTCAACCTGCGCCTCTTGTGAAACAAAGTAGAGGGTGCAGGAGGAAGGGTGGGAGAGGAAAGGGCGCCCTGCAGCCCTCAGCATGACCAGGAGATTGCTGGAACATAAAGGAAAGCTTCCTGTAAGGTGCTGAGGGCTGAGTCTGCCAGTCCATCCCCTCAAGGAACCAGGCCCAGAGTGGAGGGAGTCAACACCATACTCCTCCTGCAGAAGTGAGGGTAATTAAAACTTCACCTTGTCTACGAGTGGGTACAGAAATAAAACTGTCACCACCAAGAAAACCTCTTCTAAAATGAGATGCTTGGTCACGACCACCCAGTCAGTCCCCAGCTTACAAGGGATTTTGCAGCTTCCCCGGAGCTGCTGTGTGGGGCTGGGATGGCACTGCCGCCTTCGCTGACTGCCCCAAGGTGACCAGCTAGACCCTAGAGACCAGAGCATGAGGGGCGTGGACCCGGAAATCGTCTGGGGTCGGAAGGAGTGGGAGAGGTGATAGCCAGCGTGGTATGATTTTGGTCTGAGACTGAATTCCTTCTATGACGTGGTCTGACCGCAGGCAAATATTCACAGCACCAAGCCACAGCCCACAGCTCTGTAAAATGGAGTAATAAGAGAGTCATCCCCACAGGATGCATCACAGCAAAGCCGGCATCAGGGAGGCGGGCGTCAGGCTCCTTGCTCAGGTCTAACTCAGCCCTGGGCTACAGCTGCCAAATATAAGGCCAATCATAGGAAATGAGCAAGCGCTGCAGCAGGCCAGCTGCGAGGTGGAGTAGGAGGAAGAGAAGCCAGCATGGGGGTGCTCAGAGGCGGGGGGGGGGGGGGGGGGGGGGGAGCCGGGACAAACCAGCCCCCACAGAGCTGCTCACCGGAGGCCCCACCACATTTGTTTCCCAGTTGAGCATGGCCGAGGAGGGAGCAGAGTTGATGCCCAGATTGGAGCTTCAGATCTGCCCCAGCCTGCTGGGCAGCTGCAGCACCTGGGCAGCCCTGGCCACTGCCCTTGCTTCCTCCTCTGAAGGTGGGGACAGCCAGGGCACTGCGCAGGGCAGGCTCCAGGGCGAGCTCACCAGGCAAAGGTGATGTGGGGCAGGGCGCTATCTCAGGGAGGGGAGAGGAAGGTGGCAGGCTGCCCATGGCCGCCTGGGTGCTGATCCTCCCCCTCGGGAGCGCTGGGGCCACAACAACCCTGGCCTGGTAGTGCAGAGCTGCACAGGCCCCTTCATCAGCTCGGGGCCCTGCTCCCTTACCCTGTCTGGACTGCAAGTGCGTGGAGCTGCTGTACACATACACCCCCAGCCTAGAGACCATGGGTCCCTCACTCCTGCTGCCTTGGCCTCTTCAAACACTCCTCAGTGCCCACGCATTTTGCTCTCAGTGCTGGGGGCAGAGAGGCTCATTTCCCTCACTCACCATGCCAGCTGGTCCCCATGTGTCCTTAAGTGTCTCTAGCCAGGGGGAGCCCAGTCTTCAGCTGCAGCACCCAAGATACACCACTCTCCCTTCCTGCTCTGTCTTCTTTGCACCCTTTTTTCTTAACCCCCCAACCTCTGTTCTTCCCTAGTCTGACCTGATCATGTCCGTTGGGGACCCTGGGCTGGCTCCTAAATGCCTTCCTCACTTGGCCCCGCTCCAGCTTTTAACATTACACTAAAGTCCTTGCTCACAAAGTCCCAAGACCACACCGCTGGAAGGCTTTTGGTGGGGTCTCAGCCACCTCTGTCTCTCTGGCTTTCTTCACCTGTGCCCCTGCCAGTCTAAATCCTACCCCTACCCTTCTCCAGATAAAAGGCACCCCTCCGCTGGCATCCGGGGCTTGCCCTGCTCTCCCACCTCATTTCCTGCTACCCTGGCCCAAAACTCTTTGTTCTGACCAGTCTGATGTACTCTGGTCCCCAGCAGGCTTCACTCTCTCAAGTCTTCACTCTTCCTCTGTCTCCTCTATTGGGTCACCTCCTTTTGAGGAACATTCTGGACTTGGATCCGATGTCTCCTTCTCTGGAAGACTTCCCTCCCAGCACTTCCCCAATTGCTTTGACCTATGCACCTCTTGTGAGACTGGAAACCACTTGCTTGAGGGCAGAAGCAGGTCAGGTTAACCTGGCCAGCTGGGGTCTAGCAGTAAACATTGTGCCCCTGAACATAAAGGATGGGCAGATGGGCATAGGGCTGGAAGGAGGTGGTATAGGAGGGCGAGGAGGAGGAAGATGGCCTCGTGGCCTGGCCAGCACTCTGGGTTTGGCTTAGGTGGAGGAGCAGTGGAGCTGCCCAAGATGGAGCCCCTTAGTGCCTCCCACCATGCTCAGTCCATGCTCAGCAACCCATTCCCCACACGAGTACAACAGCCCTTCTCTGAGTGCACGGGCCTGAGGCAGACGCAGCTGCAGGCCGAGAGCTGTTCACAGGGGCAAAGTCCCGACCTCATGCCACTCAGACTCAGTTGCCAAGATACCACTCTTAGCTCCCAAGTTGACCTTGAACATGGCCGCAAATCCCTGAGAGCCTCAGTTTGCGCATCCTTCTTCTCCAAAACCAGTCTTACCTTCCAGAGGTCCCTTCAATGTCACCGCCTCTAAAGGGGTCCCTGCCCACCCTTTCTAAAAAGGTCCTCAGTGGTTCCCTGTTCCCCTGTGACCCTGTATTTTTCCTTCTCTATATGCCATGCTCACTGGTGAAAGCTTTACAGACTGCCAACTGCACAGGTCTCAAGAGTCCAGTGTAATGAGCTTTGACTACTGTACACACGCCTGTGACCCACACCCCCATCAACACAGAAAACACTTCCAGCTTCCCAGAAAGCTCCCACGTCATCACCCTTTCCCCTCCCCTACAGCGCTTGCTCACAACCTGCAATTAGCTCGTTCCTTTGATAACTCTTTAAGCAAACACACACTTATAGATATTGTACTTTCCATGTGCCTGGCTCTGTTCTGAGCACTTTATAAATATTAGGAAGAAAGGAATTCATTATCACCATTCTTTAGCTGAGACATGGTGGGGGGAGGGAGGGAACTGGCTGGTCCCCCATCAGGCCACTGTTCCCTAGTCCAGGCCATCGCCTCGCTGCCTCCCTCATCAGACTGCGGGCTCGGCAGGGCAGGTCTAGGTCTCAGCACTGGGGCGTGGGGTCTGGCACACTGGCTAAGATGGTATTTATATATTTAATGAACAACTCTGTAAAGTGGGGTAAGAGGAAGAAACCCTCACAACCCATCAGAAATACAGAATAAGATTAAACTAAGGAGGATCCTAAGGAGGACTCACCCGGTGAGAGATACGACACCCTAGAAAACCTGCTGCCCGTGTATAACTCACCCAGCCTCTAGAAAACCAGGCTTTACCTCCTCCTCCAGGTGTCCATCTTGACACAAGGCCACTGCTACGAGTTGGCTTCACTCGTGCAGGTACAGGATAGCAAATATCCTTCTTAAAAGACATCCCCATCATCCCAGCATGGGACTAGGAATGCGATAGGAGACCAGGGGCCTGGGTTATGCTCCTGTTCTCACTATGACCTGGGGCCAGGCCTTTGTCTCGCTGGACTTCTGTTTTCTCATTGTTAAGCTGTAGGGTTTAGGCTAGATTAAGAGGAGTGGTGAGGGAACCTCTGGACAGGGGATCTTTGCAAAGTACATACTATAGCCATATTCCCACATCACTTCCCACATGAAACAACCCTGGGTCTCCAAGAGCCCCCCTCCAAATGCCTGAGCCTTATGGAGTCACCTGGTGTCCTGGTCCCCAGGCCCAGCTGACCTGAAACCCCTAGCCTTGCCTCATGCCCACCCTACATCCCCTAGACAACCCTCCTGTCCTCAGGGGTCTCAATTTGCAGATTGAGGCCTGAGAGGATCCAGGAGGATGGGCCAAAGTTCTAGCTTCTGCCTGAGAAGTGCCCTTCCCCCATCACTCGTGAATTGAAACCTGGCTCTTGTGGGTGGTGTGGGCCCCACTAGAGTTGAACAGGCATCGAATGACAACATTTCACTGAACAAATAACACTGCTCTGACCTCAGGCTTTGATGAAGTGGTTTCCACCTCTCCCCTCATTCTTCTTACCCACCCCAACCCAGATGGCTGAGACCCCTGCCAACACCATCGGACAACAGACCCCAGCAAAGGTAGAGGAGATTAGGGTTCATGTCCCAGACACACACCTGCCTGCACCCCTCCAGCATCACCGGGTGAAATGGGAGCCCCAGAACTGGCCTGACTGTCTCCCTACCTCCACTCTGGGCCCTTCCCACCCATGACAGGACTTACATGAAGGTGGAGGAATTTTTTTTTTTTAAGATTTATTTATTCATACAGAACTGGGGTACAGGCCAGAGATGCGGAGGGTGAGAGGATTCACCAGAGACAGAGTGGGAGCAGAACAGGCAGATGGACGAAGTACACTGCTGAGGGGAGCAGCGGGCGGGTCAGGAGAGGTCTGCCACGCCATGTGGTCACCTCCGGGGCAGGCGGGAATCGAACTCATTCGGAAGCGGCCTCAGATTCTCAGTGCTGGGCTTTAACCCGCTGCACCACC